CAATGGCATAAAACTAGAAATCAATCATTGTATTAAAACTCAAAAATATTCTAACACATGGAGGCTAAATAGCATGTTATTAAACAATGAATGGGTTACCAAGGAGATCAAGGAAGAAATCAAACACTTGATGGAAAGTAACAAAAATGAACAGACAACAACCCAAAATCTATGGGACTCAGAGAAAGCAGACCTGACAGGAAAGTTCATACCAGTACAGGCCTATCTCAAGAAACAAGAAAAAGATCTAATAAACCATCTAACACAACAACTAAAAGAACTAGAATGAGAACAGCAAGAAAAGCCCCGAAGTAGTAGAAGAAAGGAAATAATGAAGATCAGAGCAGAACACAATAAAAAATTAATGAAACCAAGAGCTCGTTTTTGAAAAGATAAATAAGATTGATGCAGCTTTAGCCAGACTCACCAAGAAACAAAGAAAGAGGACCCAAACAAATAAAATCAGAAATGAAAGAGGCGATATAAGAACTGACCCACCAGAAATACAAAGCATCATAAGAAAATACTAGGAGCAACTATATGCCAACAAACGACAACCTGGGTGAAATGGACAAATTCTTAGAAACATAAAATATACCAAAGCTGAATCAGGAAGAATCAGAAAACCTGAATAGGCTGATAACAACAGAGGGAACTGAAGCAGTAATCACAAAACAACCAGCAAACAAAAGTCTGGGACCAGATGGATTTACAGGCAAGTTTTACCAAACATTCAAAGAAGAATTAACACCTGTTCTCCTCAAACTATTCTAGAAAATTCAAGAGGAGGGAAAACTTCCCAAACAAGATAAAGATACTACAAAGAAAGAAAGTTACAGGCCAACATCCCTGATGAACATAGATGCTAAAATCCTCAACAAAATACTAGCAAACTGGATCCAGCAATACATTCAAAAGATCATACGCCATGACCAAGTGGGATTTATTCTGGGGATGCAAGGCTGGCATGACATCCGCAAATCAATAAATGTGATACATCACATAAACAAATTGAAGGACAAAAATCATATGATCATATAAATAGGTGCAGAAAAAGCATTAGACAAAATCCAGCACCCATTTCTGATAAAAATTGTCAGCAAAGTGGGAATAGAGGGAACATACCTCAACATCATAAAGGCCATATATGACAAACTACTGCCAATATCATACTCAATGGGTAAAAACTAAAACCATTTTCATTGAAAACAGTAAAAAGACAGGGATGTCTGCTTTCACCACTATTATTCAGCATAGTACTGGAAGTCCTTGCCACCGCCGTCAGACAGGAAGAAAACATAAAAGGCATCCAAATTGTAAGGGAGGAAGTAAAACTGTCATTTTTTGCAGATGACATGATATTGTACATAGAAAACCCTAAAAACTCCATCAAAGCACTACTAGATTTAATAAACGAATTTGGCAAGGTAGCTGGATACAAAATCAACATCCAGAAATCAATGGCATATTTATACCATATATATGAACTCTCAGAAAGAGAAACTAAAATAATAATACCATTTACCATTGCAACTAAAAACATAAGGTACCTGGGAATAAACTTAACCAAGCATGTAAAAGACCTGTACCCAGAAAACTATAAGACACTGAAAAAAGAAATAGAGGAAGATATAAACAAGTGGAAGAATATACCATGTTCATGGATTGGAAGAATTAATATCATTAAAATGTCCATACTACCCAAAGCAATTTATCGATTCAATGCAATTCCTATTAAAATACCAACAGTATATTTCACAGAACTAGAACAAACATTCCAAAAATTTATATGGAACCAAAAAAGACCCCGAATAGCTGCAGCCATCTTGAGAAAGAAGAACAGAGTGGGAGGGATCATTTTACCAGATATCAAACTGTACTACAAAGCCACCGTAATAAAAACAGCCTGGTATTGGTACAATAACAGGCATATAGATCAATGGAACAGAACAGAGACCCCAGAAATAGACCCACACCATTATGGTCAGTTAATATTTGACAAAGGAGGTGAGAGCATACGGCGGAGTAAAGACAGTCTCTTCAATAAATGGTGGTGAGAAAACTGGACAGGTACATGCAAAAAATGAAACCAGACCACCAACTTTCACCATTCACAAGAATAAACACAAAATTGATAAAAGACTTAAGTGTAATTCATGAAACCGTAAAAGTCCTGGAAGAAACCATAGGCAGTAAAGTCACACACAGCCCACATAGTGAAATTTTCAGATACATCTCCTAGGGCAAGAGAAACAAAAGAAAAAATAAACAAATGGGACTAAAAAGCTGCACAGCAAAAGAAATCATCCTCAAAATACAAAGGAAATCCACAGTATGGGAGAACATATTTGCCGAGGATGCATCTGATAAGGGGTTAATTTCCAAAATGTACAAAGAACTCATACAACTCAACAAGAGGAAGACAAACAATCCAATTAAAAAATGGGCAAAAGTCCTGAATAGACACTTCTCCAAATAGGACATACAGATGGACAACAAACGTATGAATAAGTGCTCAACGTTGCTAATCATCAGAGAGACGAAAATTAAAACCACAATGAGGTTTCACTTCACACCTGTCAGAATGGCTCCATCAACAAATCAACAAATGACAACTGCTGGCGAGGGTGTGGAGAAAGGGGAACCTAGTACACTGCTGGTGGGAATGCAGACTGGTGCAGCCACTATGGAAAACAGTATAGAGTTTCCTCAGAAAATTAAAAATGGAACTACTTTTTGATCCAGTGATCCCACTTCTAGGAATATATCCTAAGAACCCTGAAACACCAATCAGAAAGAATATATGCACCCCTATGTTCATAGCAGCACAATTTACAATAGCTAAGATCTGGAAACAGCTCAAGTGCCCATCAGTAGATGAGTGGATAAAAAAGCTGTGGGACATTTACATGTGGAATACTATGCAGTTGTAAAAAAAGAAGGATCTCATACCCTTTGGGACAGTATGAATGGACCTGTAGAATATTATGCTAAGTGAAATAAGACAGCCAGAGAAAGACAAACATCACATGATCTCACTTTTATGTGGAATTGAAAGAACTTAATAGACTGATGAACAGAATAGATTCAATGACATGGAAGCATGGATCAGCCTGATGAATCTCAGAGGGAAGGAGGAGGATGGGTGGGTGGAGGGGGAGAGAGTAACCAAAGAATTTATATGCATATATGCACAACCCAAGGATACAGACAATGGTGTGGTGAGGGACTGGGGAGGAATGGTTAATGGGGAGAAAAAGGGACATCTATAATATTTTGAACAATTAAAAAGAAGACAAAAGAACAATTTATTATGGTTAGTAAGCTGGGAGAAAACATGTAGAGTTCAATTGCATGGTAGGCACAAGGGTTTTCTGTGTGGAGAGTATAAATGTTGTAGCAGTAAGTCATTTGTTTGCCTGTCCAACAGCCACCTCTGTCTCTATCGCTTAAAAAATGGCTTGTGGCCATAGGCAAGTGGTCAAGGGGTTTTGGAGAGTATGATTTGCTACTGGACCTGCCAATGAACACATTGCAATTTCTCTATACTACACATTTTGGTAGGTAGTTTTCAAGATCCTCAAATGGTTCATGCCTTCTGGGACTCATACCCTTGTGTAGTCCTCTCCTACATTGAATAGGGCTGATACATGATCAACAGGATATTGTGGAAATGTCAGAATTTGAATTTGACTTTTCCATTTAAGTCATAAATGATGTTGTAGCTCTTATCTTGCTCTCTTGGGTTATTCATACTGGAGGAAGCTGCTCCCACACCATGAAAACACTCAAACATTCCTATGTGACCAGGAACTTAGGCCTCCTACCAACAGCCAGTATGAATTTGCTGGCCACATGAGTGAGCCAACTTTGCTCAGATCCTCCAGCTCCAGCTTCAGATGACTGGAAGCCCAGCTAACATCTTGTCTGCAATTTCATAAGAGACTCCCAGCCAAGATCGACCATCCAGCTAAGCCTCTCCCAAATTCCTGGCCCACAGAAAATATGAGAAAGAATCTATATTTACTATTGTTTTATGCTACTAAATTCCAGGGTAATTTGTTATGCACCAATAAATAAATAATACACCAATCACATTAGTTTCCACTTCTCTTGTGTGGTATATAAGTAGCCAGAAAACCACAGACTAAAAACAGCCATAAATGATAGTGCTTGTCATTACCCACATCTTGTTCTAACAGACTAGGCCAGTGGTGTGCTGACAAGGTGTATCTCTAGAAAATTTTAGAAAACTCTGAGTTGTAGTGGTGTTGACTTAATTCTGTCACCATGGTTAATCTATGTCAACAGCACAGTTGGGAAAAGGTACATACTGTCAACTCTCAAAAGCCCCTCAGAGTCAGCTTCGGTGCACCCTGGATTGAATGCAGTAGAAACAGAGTGAAATCCTCCTGCTGACCTCTGCCCATATTTCAAGGGACATCTTAAGAAGCAGCATAATGTTTTAACAATAGCTTTAGGATCCAACAACATGAGGCCTGACTTTGTCTGCTGTTTTCTGGCTGAATGGCCTCGGTATGTACTATTTACTTATAAGTATCAGATTCTTCATCGTAAAATGAGGACGACAATATCTACTCATAATGTTTTTGAGAAGATTAAATGAAAATAAACAATAGAAAAAGCAACAGTTATTGAATGCTTACTGTTTAATTTTGCTTAAACAGAGGGTCAATAAATGCCAGCCATCAGAATTGTTACTCTTATGACATTTCTGAGCAGAAAGATGATTATTAGAATGAATGCTGAGTCAGAAATTGTGGGAACTGGCCAGCTTCTAATTTTCAACCTGACTCAGCATCTTCCTCAGCTGGGCAAGTGATCTCAGTGAAGATCTGTGAACTTTAATGACAGGGACTGACTGGAAGCCAGACCTAGGCTGACTGCAGACCTGTGAGCCACCCTGCAACCCAAGGATGTGGACAGAAGGGAAAGTGGTCAGGGATCTAGACAGTGTCCTTCAGCACCATGGCCAGTTGTTATTCCTCGCGAACTGGAGTAAGGGAACCCAGGGAGCAGGTGCTGCCACTGACCTCAGTGCTGAATAATCCCATTGGTCCCATAGCCTCTCGGTAGCAGTGTATGGACTCAGCTCCCTCCCAGAAGGTGTCTAGTAGAGCTGGGGATCCCTAGAAACAAAAAGTCTCTTTAAATGAAATGAAACAAAACCAGAATTGTCCACGGCCTTCCAGCCTGATGTGAGCTGCCTTTCACCACATACTTTTAAACAAGGAGAAGAGTGGGTATAGGTAGAACTTATACTCTGTGTCATCACTGGGACAGGACTTATGCTCCATGTCATCACTGGGACAGGACTTATGCTCTATGTCATCACTGGGACAGGACTTATAAACATTTTACTCAGCCCTCACAACACTCTGCTTGCTTCCCTACTGAAGAAAACCCTGAGGCACAGAGAGTTTAAGGAACTTGCTGGAGATCCCCTAACCAGTCAGTGGTGGGGAAGAATTTAATTCCAGGTCCATCCAGGTCCAAAGTCCCAGCTCAACTCTGAATGCTGCCATTTCCAAAAATTCAACAACACTGCAGGCACTTACCTACCTAAAAGCATTTGAATTAGGTAAGAAATAATGCTGATTTCTTAGTAGTATAGTGCTCTCCTTGAGTCAGGGAATACTGTTCCTTTATAGCCCCTCTTCAAACTTCACAGGAGCTCCTCTTGGTGTTGGAAAGAGCCTGAAAATAGCTACATCCCTGCTCGTTGGGGAAAGTGAGGCCATCCCTGAAGACCTGGATGGCCTAGGACAGAGACTTAAGCCCAAGAGCACAATGATTGACAGCAACCTAGGGATTTCCTGATACGTGGTTAGGTCCCCGGTGAACAGAATTGACCTCCAACACCTAGACCAGAAGCCTATATTGAAATTATGTCCAGAGATGTAGTCAGTTCAGCAATAGCCATATTTTGGGATGAGCCTTTTGAGCCAAGATAACAACATGATGGCTGAGTGTCAACACCGGTCGTTTGCATTCACGTGGTTTCCACTGGCTGTGTAACTTGGGGTCTTTTGCTTAAGTCCATAAGCCTCAGTTTTCCCAGCTATTAAGTAGTGAAAATAGGTTTGATCGTGTGCAATTATACATGTCATGTGCTCGGCCTTGGAAAGTATTCAGTAAACTAGCTATTTTATCATTATCATTATGCAGGTCACTGAAGGAAAAGTTGCAGATTTTCAACAGTAAAGGGAAGACACTCCTTAGCATGTTTACATATTCCCAAAGCAGAGCTAGAGAGACAGGCTGGACTTGGTCTTCGGCCCCAGGCACTCCCTCTGCAGAGGCAACCCCACCCACGTCCTGAACCATTCCCCGCCAGGACAGCAGGACAGCAGGCCTGAACCTACCTGCTGAGCCTCTTGTCAGATGCCCACTGAATCCCAGGCCACCCCTTCTCCTGTCCTTGTCCATCTGACCTAGTTTTTGACTGGTCCGCTGGACACTTGTCTGGAGTGAGATCCCCACCTGGATCTTGTGGTCTTTTGTCCAGAGTTTGGGGGGAAGAAGCTCCCATTTCCCAGCATCAGAAAAATGATGGCACTCTGTTCAATGTGCCAGCTGCCAGTGACTCCCTCACCCAGATGGGTATCACTAGCTGCTTTCTAGAAAGGTTTTCCAGGCCTGTGATGACCTAATCTGGCTTCCCAATCTTCCCCACAGTTTGATATTGGTATGGGCCCTGTGGGCCTTGAAGATAATTCAGAGGACATCCTATACACATAAGAAGCTGCTTGTGTTAAACAGTCCTGCTCTTTAGTTCCTGGGTCCTACTTCACACCAGATTGCAGCCGGATATCTGGTTTACCCACTTGAGCCAAAGGAATTCAGAAGATTTCCCATCCATTAGAGCTACTACCTTCCCTGCTGTACCACACCCCTCAGCAGACATAGTAAAATGCAGTCTCTCCCTTCCCTCTGCTTGCTGTACCCCCAGCAAGCCATGTGCTATTCTTGATTTCAGAATATCCTATTGCTGTAAGAACATAGGATGTAGCCACATAAGGAGCTGAGTTTGACTGTAAAATATTATAAATTCTTATAAAAACTGGCCTTGGGTTTAGAGTCTGTTCTGTGAAAGAGGAATTATTCAGGGGACACTTGTATAAAAATGACAATACAGAGATTGTTCAACACTATCGCAATAGGAGAGACTAAACTCAACTCCAAGTGCAAACAGGGATGAGTGGAATCGAGAGCATGGCAGGGTGAAGGAGAGGATAGGAGGTACTGAGAGGAACTTGGTTGGGTATCAAAGGTTGGGAGAAAGAGAACTTTGACCAACTATCAAAGGCAGAGTAGGAGGAGCTTGACTGAATATCTGTGCTTGTGTGGGGGAGGAGGAATTTTTCATAAACTGGCATAGTAAGATTCTTCAGCAATACATGGCTCAGCAGTCCAAGGGTGAGACGTAGTCAAGAAGAGGGATCAGATAAGCCTGACTAAAGTTTGTTCAAGAAGGGAGCCTTGTCAGTATCAATCAGAATTCTTTAGAGAAACAGAACCAATGGGATTAATTAATTAATTAATTAATTAATTGACCTGGAGAGAGAAAAGGAAGAGAGGTATGGAGGGAGGGAGGTATGGAGGTAT